AATTCTGTATGAAAATAAAATATAAGGGCTCCCCAAACTGTACAATTATTAAGTAAAAATAACAATACCAGGAGTGGATTACCCTTCCTGCAAGCTGTTGGCCAGAGAGAGCCTAGAGGTCCTCAACAGACTATTGCTACTAATGTCATTTGTACAACAGGAAAGGTTGGTAAGGATATGTTGCTGAAGACAACACGTGATTTGACCATGGGAGAAGGAGAGACTCCATGCCACTGGATGGATAGCTTTCATAGTACCAGAAGGCTCTATGCAGATGGCTGGGGGAGAAGGATCCCTTGTAATTCTGCTCAACCATGGCCCTTGCATGCTGCACACTATTGATATTCCAAGCCATGCCTGCTTGTGCAATAATGACTCAACTAGCATGCATACAGCTGACAAATTTCTAATTCGATAAGGCCTGCTCCTAGGGATAGAACACACATCTAGTGCTGTAGACTTGGCCAGCGCCCTGTGTCAGAGACAGCTATAGGCCCCAACAGGTAAGCCACTGCAAGTATTTTGTTTGGTCAACATGGTACACTTGCTAAAGTATTTGTATTTACACCCATGTTTGTTTAGATGTGCCTGCTTCTTTCCATTTGTCTTTATAGTAGGGGAGACACCTCTGAGATGGATCAACAGCCACATCTTGAAAACTGATGATGGTGAGGCCCAGGAGTTCAGTATCTCACGACAATAAAAGATCTGCAACTTTCACCCCCTGCATCTGTCACCCCCTCCAAGACTCAGGGACTCTTGTGGAAGATTAGTGGAAAAGATTGTGAGAGCCAGAGGAAAGGGTGGAGTTTTGGATAGGTGTGACATCTGAAAGAATTAACATTGAACCCTAAGAGACTCCATAGTTGCGGGGGGGAACAATCACCCCTCCTACCCAGTCGGTCAGCTTCAATTGCATGAGAGGTCAGGTCTAAGGACAGGAATGGAGAAAGCGAGGAGGCTGTGGGAAGTCACCATCTTGGATGGGAGCTGGCAGCAGTGAATCTCAAAAAGCTCAGCCGACACATAGGGGAAAGAGCCCATGGGTGTTCGTGCCTTTGTAAGTTTCCCCTCCAGAATAGCAAAAGCTTTTTTGGCAAGCCCAAGTAAATATCCTTATACCCCAAACTGTAACTTAGAAGAACATTGTGTCGGTTTTGTGGGTCAGTCTTAAAAACAGCAGGGTCCTGGGAGCCAAAAAGGATGCAGCATGACTCACAGAGGGCTAGAGAGCATGCTCAGGCCCCCAAGGAGAGAATTTGGCATTACACACATCAAGATGAAAACTGATTTTCTTTTTCTTCATAATTCTGCACAATTGGTTTGGTGAATTAACTTGTACAAAATGTTCAGTTGTCTGGTCTGTTTGGCTAGGGTGTATTCCCATAACACCAAGTTAATGTGTGTGCCAGGGAATGAAGCCTGATAGGACTCTTTATTACATCTCACATGATTTTATTATTCCATGGTAAATATTCATAGAGAGTCTCTGGGATACAAGGTGCCTAGACAGGATAAAGACCTTAATTCAGCACAGTGCTGGAAATTATGGGGACTTCTCACAGTAATGATATTTCACCTTCTAATATTTTCAAAGATACAAAACAATAAGAAGATACCTTTATCATTTTTATTTTCATATTTCTGTTTTATCAACATATTTTTGTATTTTACTTTATAGGAAAGGTACATAACTAGTATAATTCCATATTTTGTAGTGGTAAAA